TTTAAGAAGCTGAATCTAAAATTTTTTGGTCACACATAGATAGGGAACATAACCCTAAAGTTTCAGATTTCTAGTTTTTTTCCTTCCTGGGCTAATGATTTCCGCGCCAAAATTTCCACGCGCTCGTACGTGGGCTCGGGCGCGTCTAAACACCTGATTTTACTCGTACATGAGTAGGGAGCATTCTCATAAAGTTTCAGCTTTCTGGCTTTTCCCTTTCCCGAGTTAGCAATTTCCGCGCCAAAACTCTCACATGTGGCGTACTTGGGTCTCGAGCGTCTCTAAACAACTGGTTTTGTTTCTACATAAGTAGGGGAAACTCCCGTAAAATTTAAGCTCTCGAGCTTCTTTCGTTCCCGGGTTAGTGATTTCCACGCCAAAATTCCCACGTGCCCGTACGTGAGCCTCGGATGCTTTTAAGCACCTGATTTTGCTCGCACATGAGTAGGGAACATTCCCTTAAAGTTTCAGCCTCCTAGCTTTTTCTGTTTCCGGGTTAGTGACTTTCGCGCCAAAATTCCCACATGCCCGTGCGCGAGCCCTGGATGCCTCTAAACATCTGATTTTGCTCGTACATGAGTGGGGAACATCCCTCTATAGTTTCAGTTTTCTAGCTTTTCCCGTTCCCGTTTTGCTCGTACATAAGTGGGGAACATTCCCTTAAAGTTTCAATTTTCTGGCTTTTCCCGTTCCCGTTGCTCGTACATAAGTAGGGAACATTCTCTTAAAGTTTTAGTTTTCTAGCTTTTCCCGTTCCCGAGTACCGGATACTTCTAAGCACCCGATTTTGCTCGCACATGAGTAGGGAGCATTCCCTTAAAGTTTCAGCCTTCTAGCTTTCCCCGTTCCCGAGTTAGCCAGTTTTCTAGCTTTTCCTGTTCCCAAGTTAGTGATTTTCGCGCCAAAATTTTCACATGCCCATACGAGGTTCGGGTGCCTCTAAACACCTGATTTTGCTCGTACATAAGTAGGGAACATTCCCTTAAAGTTTCAGCTTCTTGGCTTTTCCCGCGGTGCCTCTAAACACCTGATTTTGCTCGTACATGAGTGGGGAACATTCCCTTAAAGTTTCAGCTTCGCCTCCAAACATCTGATTTTGCTCGTACATGAGTGGGGAACATTCCCTTAAAGTTTCAGCTTTCTAGTTTTTCCTGTTGCCGAGTTAGTCATTTTCGCGCCAAATTCCCACGTGCCCGTACGTGAGCCCCGGGCAATCCTGCGCAGCTGAATTTGAAAGCTTTTAGTCGCGCATGGGCGGGGAATATTCCTCCAAAGTTTCAACTTTC